CCCTGCAACCACAATTAGGCGAGTACAATTAGGTGAGTACACACACACACACAGAGTAGTCAGGAAGTGGAATATTTTGGGAAGCGATGTAGTGGAGGCAGGATTCCTTCAAGCAGAGGTATGATAAAGCTCACGGTTCATGGAGAGTGACCTAGTAGCGACCAGTGAAGAGGCGGGGCCAGGAGCTTGGACTCGACCCCTGCAACCTCAACTAGGTGAGTACAACTAGGTGAGTACACACACACACACACACACACACACACACACACACACACACACACACACACACACACACACACACACACACACACACAATGACACGACGAAAGGGATAGATTCAGAAATGTCTCTGTTTGCAGACGATGTGAAGCTAATTAGAATTCAGTCGGTTGAGGATCAGGCAGGACTACAAAGGGATCTGGATAAGCTGCAAGCCTGGTCCAGGAAATGGGTCCTGGAGTTTATTCCCACCAAGCGTAAAGTCATGAAGATCGGGGAAGGGCAAAGAAGACCGCAGATAGAGTACAGGTTAGTGGGCCAAAGAATGCAAACCACACTCAAGGAAAATGATCTCGGGGTAAGTATAACATCGAGCACATCTGAAGCGCGCATCAACCAAATAACTACTGCAGCATATGGGCGCCTGGCAAACCTAAGAATAGCGCTTCGGGGCCTCAGTAAGGAATCGTTCGAGACTCTGTACACCGTGTACGTCAGGCCCATATTGGAGAATGCAACACCAGTATGGAGCCCACACGTGGTCAAGCTCGTCAAGAAATTAGAGAACGTGCAAAGGTTTGCAACAAGACTAGTCCCGGAGCTAAGGGGCCAGTCCTACGAGAAGTTAAAGGAAGTCAACCTGACGACACTGGAGGACAGGAGGGATAGGGGACACATGGTAACAACGTAAAATACTGAGAGGAACTGACAAGGTGGATAGGGACAGGTTGTTTCAGAGATGGGACACAGCAACAGGGGGTTACATCTGGAAGCTGAAGACTCAGATGAGTCACAGGGACGTCAGGAAATACTTCAGTCATAGAGTTGTCAGGAAGTGGAACAGTGTGGAGAGTGATGTAGTGGAGGCAGCATCCATACATAGCTTTACGAAGAGGTATGATAAAGCTCATGGAGCAGGGAGAAAATGGACCTAATAGTGACCAGTGAAGAGGAGGGGGCAGGAGCTGTGAATCGACCCCTGCAACCGCAATTAGGTGAGAACACACACATACACACACACACACACACACACACACACACACACACACACACACACACACACACACACACACACACACACACACACACACACACACACATACACATATACACCAAATAACTGCTGCAGCATATGGGCGCCTAGCAAACCTCAGAACAGCATTCCGACATCTTAATAAGGAATCATTCAGGACCCTGTACACCGTGTACGTTAGGCCCATATTGGAGTATGCGGCACCAGTTTGGAACCCACACCTAGCCAAGCACGTGAAGAAACTAGAGAAAGTGCAAAGGTTTGCAACAAGACTAGTCCCAGAGCTAAGAGGTATGTCCTACGAGGAGAGGTTAAGGGAAATCAACCTGACGACACTGGAGGACAGGAGAGATAGGGGGGACATGATAACGACATACAAAATACTGAGAGGAATTGACAAGGTGGACAAAGACAGGATGTTCCAGAGATTGGACACAGTAACACGGGGACACAGTTGGAAGCTGAAGACACAGATGAATCACAGGGATGTTAGGAAGTATTTCTTCAGCCACAGAGTAGTCAGTAAGTGGAATAGTTTGGGAAGCGATGTAGTGGAGGCAGGATCCATACATAGCTTTAAGCAGAGGTATGATAAAGCTCACGGCTCAGGGAGAGTGACCTAGTAGCGATCAGTGAAGAGGCGGGGCCAGGAGCTCGGACTCGACCCCCGCAACCTCAACTAGGTGAGTACACACAACACACACACACACACGTGCGCGCGCGCGCGCTGCCAGGAGCTTAGTCTGCGGGGCGAGGAGCTGAGTCTCGACCCCTGCAACCACAATTAGGTGAGTACACACACACACGTGAAATGACCTTGATGAAAGCGTAGTAGAAGTAAACTTCTTATAAAGCTTTAGAAACAGGTATATAGCAGATATTGTAGGCTGAGGCACAGATTACCGAATGCTTGGAGAAACATTTTTTGACATGTTTTGAATAGGAGTATGTGAAGAATTAGTCATAATACCATGGCTGGAACAATACCATGGCTGGAACAATGCCATGGCTGGAACAATACCATGGCTGGAACAATACCATGGCTGGAACAATACCATGGCTGGAACAATGCCATGGCTGGAACAATGCCATGGCTGGAACAATACCATGGCTGGAACAATACCATGGGCGAGAAGGATCCAAATAAAAGTTCCCAGATATTTCATATGTGTCTATTTTATTCATAAACTGATGAAATATCTGGGTATCTTTATTTGAAGACGTTTCACTAAGCAGTAACTTTCTGAACTCAATTACTGCTACCATATTTGTCTGAGAAAGTAACACCACGGAGTATGGAGTATACCGTCTTCATCATACTTGCTAACCTCTGGCCTAACTCTTGGCCATGACCTACTTCCACTAATGGGTCCGCCCATGGTGACGATCCCTTGAACTGCTGCACCTCATCTGACACCTACGTAAGCGAACATCTTCCTGCCTATGCTTCAGATTCAACCTAAATAAAGGTGATGTACACCTTTATCTAGGCTGAGGGGCCGATTACCTCATGTTCTTCTGTCTCCAGTTGCATCACCTTCAAATAACCTCTATACTGAAATGACTAAGCCATTGGCTGGCGAAACGTCTTCAGAATAAAGATACCCAGGTATTAAACCTGTCTTAATCATCAACATATGCATATTTATTGACAGATCTGCCAAATAATGCTGTATCAGTGTTTAATATGAACATGATTAATATTATGTCTTTATGAAAAGTACTATACCTGAAGAGTATACCTGGAGAGTATACCTGGAGAGTATACCTGGAGAGTATACCTGGAGAGTATACCTGGAGAGTATACCTGGAGAGTATACCTGGAGAGTATACCTGAAGAGTATACCTGGAGAGTATACCTGGAGAGTATACCTGGAGAGTATACCTGGAGAGTATACCTGGAGAGTATACCTGGAGAGTATACCTGGAGAGTATACCTGGAGAGTATACCTGGAGAGTATACCTGGAGAGTATACCTGGAGAGTATACCTGAAGAGTATATCTGGAGAGTATACCTGGAGAGTATACCTGGAGAGTATACCTGAAGAGTATACCTGGAGAGTATACCTGGAGAGTATACCTGGAGAGTATACCTGGAGAGTATACCTGGAGAGTATACCTGGAGAGTATACCTGGAGATTATACCTGGAGAGTATACCTGAAGAGTATATCTGGAGAGTATACCTGGAGAGTATACCTGGAGAGTATACCTGGAGAGTATACCTGAAGAGTATACCTGGAGAGTATACCTGGAGAGTATACCTGGAGAGTATACCTGGAGAGTATACCTGAAGAGTATACCTGGAGAGTATACCTGGAGAGTATACCTGGAGAGTATACCTGGAGAGTATATCTAGAGAGTATACCTGGAGAGTATATCTGGAGATTATACCTGGAGAGTATACCTGAAGAGTATATCTGGAGAGTATACCTGGAGAGTATACCTGGAGAGTATACCTGGAGAGTATATCTGGAGAGTATATCTGGAGAGTATATCTGGAGATTATACCTGGAGAGTATACCTGAAGAGTATATCTGGAGAGTATACCTGAAGAGTATACCTGGAGAGTATATCTGGAGAGTATACCTGGAGAGTATATCTGGAGATTATACCTGGAGAGTATACCTGAAGAGTATACCTGGAGAGTATATCTGGAGAGTATACCTGGAGAGTATATCTGGAGAGTATACCTGGAGAGTATATCTGGAGATTATACCTGGAGAGTATACCTGAAGAGTATATCTGGAGAGTATACCTGAAGAGTATACCTGGAGAGTATACCTGGAGAGTATACCTGAAGAGTATATCTGGAGAGTATACCTGGAGAGTATACCTGGAGAGTATACCTGGAGAGTATATCTGGAGAGTATACCTGGAGAGTATACCTGGAGAGTATACCTGGAGAGTATATCTGGAGAGTATACCTGGAGAGTATACCTGGAGAGTATACCTGGAGAGTATATCTGAAGAGTATACCTGGAGAGTATATCTGGAGAGTATACCTGGAGAGTATACCTGGAGAGTATACCTGGAGAGTATACCTGGAGAGTATACCTGGAGAGTATACCTGAAGAGTATACCTGGAGAGTATATCTGGAGAGTATACCTGGAGAGTATACCTGGAGAGTATACCTGGAGAGTATACCTGGAGAGTATATCTGGAGAGTATACCTGGAGAGTATACCTGGAGAGTATACCTGGAGAGTATACCTGGAGAGTATACCTGGAGAGTATACCTGAAGAGTATACCTGGAGAGTATATCTGGAGAGTATACCTGGAGAGTATACCTGGAGAGTATACCTGGAGAGTATACCTGGAGAGTATACCTGGAGAGTATACCTGGAGAGTATACCTGGAGAGTTACCTGAAGAGTATACCTGGAGAGTATACCTGGAGAGTATACCTGGAGAGTATACCTGGAGAGTATACCTGGAGAGTATACCTGGAGAGTATACCTGGAGAGTATACCTGAAGAGTATACCTGGAGAGTATACCTGGAGAGTATACCTGAAGAGTATACCTGGAGAGTATACCTGGAGAGTATACCTGGAGAGTATACCTGGAGAGGGTTTCGGAGGTCAACGCCACAGCAATGAAAATTTGAAGAATAAGGAAACATATTCGCCATTTAAATTTGAAAAAAAAATGATGGGCTCCTCGCCCATTCAACTGACTACCAGCAGAAACAAGCTACAAACATCTGAGATTGAGTGAACGAGATACATGAGCAGTAAGTCATCACTTACCATCACAGTCGCGAGGATCTTGAACACAAAGGTTGCCTCTTGGTTGTCTGCCACCACTGCTGGACGGACCATCACCACTGTTGGAAGGGCCACCACTACCACTGTTGGAGCGGCCAACACCAATGTTGGGGCGCCCACTACCAATGTTGGGACGGCCGCTACCAATGTTAGGACGGCTGCCACCAATGTTAGGACGGCTGCCACCAATGTTAGGACGGCCTCCACCAACGTTGGAGCGACCACCACCAATGTTGGTGCGACCACCACCAACGTTGGTGCGGCGGCTACCAATGTAGGGGCGGCTGCTATTAATGTTGGGGCGACCGCCACCGCCTGTCACAGACGGTACTGAAGTGAGAGAGTTTTTTTTGTTTATTAAGCTAGGCCTTTACTTTTTACTTCTAAATGCAATGAATTATACATTCATGTATACACACACATAAATACAATTATTAACCTAGCCAATAAGGAACTCTGGTTAGATTTATAATTTTATTATTCACCGCTTACCCACCCTGTGGGAAGATAGATTTAGATTAGATTTTGCCACCGAAGTGGCTAGTTTATTGTGCACCCCATATCTATCCTGTGGACGGTAGCCCAAGAGCACATGGATACACGAAAGGCCTAGGAACTAGGCCCCAAAAGGGTTAAAAGGAGTACATATGGATTTATGTCTACATATCTATATTTCACTTATCTGTTACAAGCAGATTTAGGAAATTTGCTTAGTATGTCTGGTATCTTATTTTCATTAATAAGATATCTTGACATGTCACATAGGTTATTATACTATCTCTTTCTGTATTCCTCAATAAGTGGACAATTAAGCACATAGTGTTCAAGACAGTGACCATATGTCTGATCACATAATTTGCATTTAGTTTGATCATCATCTGTGTGTCTCCCAAACTGCCAGAAGTACTTGTAACCAAGCCTAAGCCTGGCCACTACAACATCAGTCAGTCTGTTCACATTGCAAGCCCCATAAACATACTTATCTATAACAACACTGCGCTAGCCAAGGATTCGAACCCATGTTGTATTGGCCTGCCTCATGGTAAGCGAGAACCACATGACGCTTTAAACCACAGGACCACCCAACCCTACAAGAATGGCGTAGCCAGTACACAGCTAGCTGTTGGGCTGCCATCCGAGGGCATACGGAGGTGTGGGAGCTTCTAAGCTAATTTCATTCTCATCCCTGTTTGGTGTTCTAGCTAGATCCAAGGCAGCCAGCTGGCTGCCTTGGATTTTAGGTGTGATATACCATCCCCCTAACTTAGATAGGGACCAAGGGAGACTACTATGGGAGGAAATTGTTAAGGCCACAAGGCACGATAACGTAGTAATTCTAGGAGACTTTAACTTTAGTCATATTGATTGAAATTCCTTGATTGGGAATTTAGAATCAAACGACTTCTTAGAAGTAGTTCAGGATTGTTTTTTGAAGCAGTTTGTGACAGAACCTACAAGGGGAAATAACCTGCTTGACTTGGTTTTGGCAAACAAGGAAACCCTTGTTAATAATTTAGAAATTACAGAAGAATTCGGCACAAGCGATCACAAATCAATTACCTTTACTATTGAATGGAAGTATGATAGTAGGGATAATTCAGTACTGGTCCCAAATTTTCGCTTAGCTGATTACAATGGGCTTAGAGAACACTTATCATCTGTGGACTGGGGTAACGAAGAGAGTTATCAGTATGACAGCTTTCTTAACACAATACATGCTGCCCAAAGGACATTTATCCCATATAAGGAAATTAGATAGAATAGAAATGACCCCAGATGGATGAATAATAGGCTCAGATATCTTTTAGGACAGAAAAGAATTTATAGGCGCATCAAAAGAGGTGAGGGTCATCTTATGAATAGGTATATTGACATTAAGAGGGACGTTAAAAAGGGGATAAGAAAAGCTAAACGGGACTATGAAATTAAAGTTGCTAGGGATTCAAAAACTAACCCAAAAAGTTTCTTCCAGGTTTATAGAACAGAAGTCAGAGATAAGATAGGTCCCCTTAAAAATAACTCTGGGCATCTCAATGACAAGGAGAATGAAATGTGCTCTATTCTTAATAATTATTTTCTCTCGGTTTTCACTCAGGAAGACACTAACAATATCCCAGTAATTAATTTTTATAGTGGGCCTGATGATGATAAATTATGCAGTATCACAGTCACTACCGAATTGGTTATCAAACAAATAGACCGGTTAAGGCAAAATAAATCTCCGGGCCCTGATGAACTTTTTTCAAGGGTTCTTAAAGAGTGTAAAATGGAACTTTGTGAACCATTGACTAATATTTTTAATATTTCTCTTCAAACAGGTGTAGTGTCTGATATGTGGAAGATGACTAATGTAATTCCTATTTTTAAAGCAGGGGACAAGTCGCCACCGTCAAATTACCGCCCAATAAGCCTAACCTCAATTGTAGGCAAATTACACCAATCAATTATAGCTGATAATATAAGAAGCCATCTCGATAAGCGCAGCTTGATTAATGATACTCAGCATGAATTCACGAGGGGCCGTTCCTGCCTAACTAATTTATTAACCTTCTTCAGTAAAGCTTTTGAGGCCGTTGTCATAAATTTGTGCCCCCCTAAAATTCTAATACCCCAACTACTTTTGACTGTCATTGTTGTATTCAACGACCATTCTACCTCATAGTCTTAATTGTGTTTAATATCTACAGAATCTATCTCCTTTTTTACAACTTACCACATCACTGTTCCATCTTATTTTATTATAAACTAACCATAACTTGTCCTCAATAATTCTACCTCACTTTAAGAAATACTCAATTGCCCAATTTTATTCTAAAATCCCTTTTATTGCCCAATTTTGCTTTAAACTATGTTGACCAAACTTATTGTAAACTTCTTTTATTGACCATTTTTATTCTATACTTTTTTAAACTAGTATTTTCAACTACAACTTTTATATTATCCTGTCTACCATCTTACTAGCATATTATAACCAAGTCATTGCTATTTTTATTTTTATCATTTTTTTTTATTATTCTTTTGCTACCTTAACTTGTGTATTTTATCCTGTCAATTTAAATCTAGTTATATTCTAATTTTTGTAAACAACTTACATAAGACCTTAGTGCAATTACAATTGAGAGTCTTGTGCCTTTTTTATATTATTAGATTAAATTCAGTTGTACTATAGCTCATTCTAGCTCAATACATAGTCAATACCAAATTCACTATATTAGACCATAGTGCAATTACTAGTGAGAGACTGATGCTATTTTTAATTTGTATTTTTATATTATTAGATTAAACCTAGTTGTACTATAGCTCATTCTAGCTCAATACATAGTCAATACCAAATTCACTAAATTAGACCATAGTGCAATTACTAGTGAGAGACTGGTGCTATTTGTAATTTGTATTTTTATACTATTAGACTAAACCTAGTTGTACTATAGCTCTTTCTAGCTCAATACATAGTCAATACCAAATTCACTATATTAGACCATAGTGCAATTACTAGTGAGAGACTGGTGCTATTTTTAATTTGTATTTTTATATTATTAGATTAAACCTAGTTGTACTATAGCTCATTCTAGCTCAAAACATAGACTCCACAAAAGTCATTATTAGACCTTAGTGCAATTCAAGTGAGAGTCTTGTTCTATTTTTAATTTGTATTTTTATATTACTAGTTTATACCTAATTGTACTTTAGTTCATTCCAGCACAACATATAGACAACATCAACTTCATTATGTGTAGCAGTGACTATACTCTATATGACCAAAATACTCTAGCTATATACTTGTCCAAACTTCCCACCACTACAGATATCAGTACTAGAACTCAACACACAACTCAGGATATAAATAACCATAATTTAAACCTAGAAGATGATTGATCACGTTGACCCTGATCTAAACCTCCATAATCTGACACCCAATCAAAACCTATTGGAAAGTAACTGCCTTTATTACACAGCATCACAAGCCAGCACTATCCTAAACAATACTAAAAGTCTATCAGTACTTAACTACAACATCAGGTCCTTTAAGCAAAACACTATGATGACCTCCTGGCACTCCTTGAATTATTAAAGACACCCTTCTCCTGCATTATTCTTACTGAGACCTGGCTTAAGCAGGACACAATAGATATCTACCCTCTACCAGGATACACAGCAATTCACAACTGCAGACCAAACCAAGTTGGGGGTGGTATTGCACTCTATACTCTAACCAATTATCTTGTATTAGCACCCACTTGCTTTAGTGATGAATATGGGGAATACATTTTTGCTAATTTTAACTGTAAAAAACCTTAAGACACCTATAACAATCGGTGCCATTTACGCGATACCTCACACAAACATCCCAAATTTCAGTGAAAAATTAAAGTCACTAATAACAAACAGACAAATGAATAAGCACCACCTTCTCTTAGCTGGAGACTTCAACATCAACCTTGGCTTACTAGATGATCAGCCTGTAACTGATTTCATCAACAATGAACAACACACTTCTCATACCAACAATAACTAAACCAACCAGGCTCACTGAAACAAGTGCAACCATAATAGACCACATATGGACCAATATACTACGCCCCGCTTAAATCAGGGATAATCACAGATAGCAAACTACGACCACTACCCTACCTTCCTCCTGACAAACATTAGTAAACCACCACTTGAATACAACAAAGTCTCATTTAGACTCCATGATGAGGCCTCAATAAGGAAGTTCACAGCTGACCTAGAGACTATTGACTGGCCTACAGAATTCTCCAAGGCCAATGGTATTGATGACTGGACAGACATTTTTCTTAACAAATTACTTAGACTATACAACAACCATTGTCCTATAAAAACAAAAACAGATCACAAACAAACGGCTTGGTTGCCCATGGCTAACCAGCACCATTTCTGAATCCATTGACAAGAAACACCAATATGAAAAGCAATATAGACAGGGCTTAATACACAAAGATATTCTTAAACACTATTCATCAGTTCTCACCAAAGTAATAAAAAAAGCCAAACAACTATACTACTCCAGTAGATTCACAGACTACTAGAGGAGATATGAAAAAGACCTGGAAAACACTCCTCTCAGATTCTAGGGACCCACAAACTGAAAAAAAAAAACAAGAATATTGTCCTAACTAAACCTAATGAAACACCACTACATCCCACTGACACAGCTAACAAGATAAACGACTTCTTCTCAACCATAGGATCTAATCTCGCCAATAAAATCCCACATACCAATGCCATGCCGGGGACTACCTAGATGGGAATTTCCCAAATTCCTTCTATCTTGCACCAACTGAGCCCACGGAAGTCACCAGAGATTA